GACCAACCTAGACAGCATATTAAAAAGCAGAGACGTTACTTTGCCAACAAAGGTCCGTCTAGTCAAAGCTATGGTTTTTCCAGTGGTCATGTATGGATGTGAGAGTTGGACTATAAAGAAAGCTGAGCACCGAAGAATTGATGCTTTTGAACTGTGGTGTTGGAGAAGACTCTTGAGAGTCCCTTGGACTCCAAGGATCCAACCAGTCCATCCTGAAGGAGATCAGTCCTGGGTGTTCATTGGAAGGACTGATGCTGAAGCTGAAACTCCAGTACTCTGGCCACCTCATGTGAAGAGTTGACTCATTGGAAAAGACCCTGATGCTGCGAGGGATTGGGGGCAGGAGAAGGGGGTGACAAGGATGAGATGGCTGGATGGCATCACCGACTCAATGGGCATGAGTTTTAGTAAACTCGGGGAGTTTGTGATGAACAGGGAGGCCTGGCGTGCTGCAAAAAGTGGGGTCGCAAAAAGTCAGACACGACTGAGCAACCAAACTGAACTGAACCGCCTGTCAGCCTTCCCAGGCAGCACTAGTGGTAAAGAACCCATCTGCCAAGGCAGGAGACGTAAGAGACACAGGTTCGCTCCCTGGGTTGGGAATATCTGGAGGAAGGCGTGGCAACCCTTCCAGTATCCTTGCCAGGAGAATCCCACGGACAGAGGAGCCTGGTGAGCTACAGTCCATGGGGTCACAAAGACTCAAACATGACTGAAGCAATTTAGCAAGCAAGCAGCAGCCACCACTTAATTTTAACTTCTGACACCACCATAATCAAGCCCTTGTAGGATCAATCATGGAAATGACGACACTTTGACTTGTTTTATTCCCTATCACCTATGGGATAAAGGACTTGTAAGATTTCCAGCTTTACTGAATTTTTATCAAATATTAATAGCATGACTTTTACAAACCATATACACTATTTTATAAAGTATATGAATAAAGAGGAAGCTGATACACAGCTCTGATTCTTAAATAGTTCATTAATGTGAGAGACTGACATGCATATATATTCACAATACTTTGCTAACAGATGCAGCATATGGACCCCCACCTATTGTTTCAACTTTATTTCCTCAGGATTCTTCATCAGTCTCTGCTCAGAGATCAGTGTTATCTGAGCGGCAGCGCTCAGGAACTAAGGGTTGAGACACAGGACTGATGTGACAAGCACATAGCTTGTTCAAAACAAGTAAGCCTCATAAAGCAGAGTGTTACTTTGAGGACCTGAGACAGAAGATATCTGTGCGAAGATAAAAGAAGAAATAGAAGATATTATGGACTAATGATTCTCAAAGTATGGTCCCTGGACCAACAGCAGCAGCAGCGTCACCTGTTAGAAATGAAAATTGACAGGCATTCCCCAGACCTACTGAATCAAACTGTTAGCCTCCACCCTCAGAATCTGTCTAACCTTCCTGTTAATTCTGATGTATACTGATGTTTCGAGAACACTGCTATAGACTACAGTGGGTAAACATGGATGCTTTCCTAATATAAACTATAAGACTGGCATAGAAATGAGAAAAAAAAAAATGGAAGGACACTAGAAAGCTCAGGGTACTAAATAAAATGTCTGGCAAATTCTTGGCTTTTCTGCTGGTTTAATCTCTACAGTTAGCAAAAATGGTGATAGACACTGACTGCTTCTCTGGGCTTCAAGAAGTCAGGTGTCACTAGTTAAAGGCATCTTCAATGAATTCTTATTTTATAGGAACACTAAGAAAAAAAAATTAAAAACTACAGCATACAAAACCAAGAGGAACCAACCAGGAATTTTAGTATCAAAAAAAATTGAAAGCTCTGAATAAGTGGAGGCTTGCAAAAATACTATAAAACTTTGAAGAAGGCCTTTAAAAGAGAAGAAAGTGTTTCTTTTGCTAGATGACATACTGTTAGCAAGAAAATAAGAGTTACCCAAATCTAGTTTCCACTTCCTCTGTGAATAATGATTTTAAATGAATGAATGAATGGGAAGTTAAGTCCAAAATGTGTGGTTTGCTGTCATAAAAACACCCACCTAAATTCAGAAGCATCTTGACCAAGAATAGTACCAAGTCAAGGTGTGTTCACTACATCTGTGAAGATTACTGGGGCATGGAAACTGGCCAGAAAATCTGAATTGGGCAAATACTGTCCGGATTTTCAGAAAGGCAGAGAGAAGGAAAAGCTGCAGAAATGATCAACAGCAGCTTCAGGCGTTGAAGGCAGGCCAGTACACTCACCAGAAGCGCAGACTCTGGAGCCACACTGCCTGGGCTCAAGCAAGCTTGAGCTGTGGACCCACTGCTAAGCTGCTGTGCCTATCAGTTTCCTCATATGAAAATGGAAATAAAGACACACATCTCATGTGACTGGTGTGGGCATAAGTGAGTTAATGTGTGTAAAGCACTTAGAACATTGCTAATAACTAATGTTGACTGCGGTCTTGTTACTGTTACTGAATACGAGCAAAATCACACCACAGATGACTTGTAGAGCTTAAAAAGTCCAATGGTCATCACACACACACACACAAATGGTGTGGCTTCCATAAGAAGAAGACACACCAAACTGTCTCACTGAAAGGATTCCTAGTTAAGTGATGAGGGGAATTCCACAGAAATAATGTTCAGTAAGAAATCTGACAGATTTGCATAGTGTTTTCGTTACTGAGACAGAGAAATGGAGTGAGGATAACTAGTTCTATTCATAGCTGAGTGAATGCTCATGTAGCAAAGTGCTAATTAACAGAATAAGACCAAGCTGGACCTACAGCCGCTATCAACCAGCCGGGCATACGAATGAGCCACCGGAGAAACGGCCCCTCCCAGCCTTGGCGGGTCTGCAGCTGCCTGCGGGCCTGGCTGGTATCTTGGCTACAACCTCTTACGAGACCCCTCAAGCCAGAATGTCTAAAAGAGGCCAGAGCTCAGGCACCCTTGAATTCCTGGTTCATGAAAACTGAGAGGGATAACAAATGTTTCTTAAGCAAGAGTAAAAAAAATAGAGATCTAAAGGCATGTCCTCAGAACTCTGATCCCGTCTGTCTAAAATTTTCAGTGAAGACCCAGAAGACATGCGTGCCGCATCTGCAGAAAGCATAACAACATTTCAAGAAAAAGCTAACGACCAATAAGGACTGCAGACCTCAGAGGCTTGAGCATTAACCCAAAGTAACAAGATGGGCTTAATAAATATAAACACATCTTGCACTTCAGTTTAGAAGCCTGCTGCAGAAATCATATCTGAGAAAAACTGTGTGTGTGTGTGAAACAGCTACATGTGGTTATAAATCAGTTACAGAATGGATAGCCACCTCCAACCAAAAAAAAACAAAAAAAAACCCTGATACAACCTTGGGCTGACTGAACAAGTCTAGAGTAATTAGCGAACTACAGCTCAGCTCAGTTGGTAAAGAATCTGCCTGCAATGCAGGAGACCCAGCTTCTATCCCCGGGTCGGGAGGATCCCCTGGAGAAGTATTGTTGCCTGGAGAATCCCACGGACAGAGGAGCCTGGTGGGCTACAATCCGTGGGGTCACAAGAGTCGGACACAGCTTAGCAACTCAACCACGGTATTCAGTCAGCATCTGGAGATGGTACGAGCTTTGGGGACACACCGAGGTATATACCTCATATATAAGGTATATACCTTATATACACACCGAGGAAAGACAATGGATAAATGCGTCTAGAAAAGAAGTACAAGGCAGCGCGGGGACAGGCTAGGGGTCACAGAGTCCCCAGAGGGCACATTCTAGGAAACAGGTCCTCTCAACAGGGGACAGAAAAAGACACGGAAGGCAGGCTGTGACAGTGTTCTCAGACATTCCAAGGGCCATCATGTGGAGCTAGCAGGGGTCTGAGTTACTCAGGAGAGCAGGGAACAAGAGGCAGTTACAGGAGGCTGCATTCTGTTCAAGATAGGAAAGAACTTTCTAGAGTGCTCCAGCAGTCGAATTCTCTGCTTTAGTTTACTGAGCTTTTCATACGCATTACCTATGCGAGGTGGACATTTGCTAAACATGTAAAGTGGTCCTGGAGGTTCATATTTAACTTTTAAGTGTTTGCATTACTTCCCAGACAAATGACTTCTCCAGTGGTCTACGTCCGCGTTACGCGTGCAGTACATACTTGACAGTGTTTGAAATGTCACCGAGAATATAAGCACATTTAAACATCACGTAAAGACAAGAAATACTAGTGTAAAACTTACTTTCTGAGAAAAAAAATCCTTCCGCCAGGCCGGAAAGTACGTAAAAAGCTGACTTTTCCCACTTTCACATGCCTCCCCGGCTGCCTTCCGCTCCTAAAAGACCACGGGCCCGCTATGGTCATGCACCCTGAACTTCTCTGATCTTGGAGGCCAAGCAGGGTGGGACCTGGTTAGTACTTGGATGGGAGAACCCATGGTCTCTCATTGGGAAAAATATGCAGAAGGAAGCTCCTGACCTTCAGGTCCTCCACTGTAGTTCTACTTCCTACTTCTCTTTGGGAAAACAACCAATTAAAGCATATAATACTTGAAAAAAATCAGGTATATACCTTAACATTTAACTCTTGAACTAAAAGTTAGAAGTGAAGGCACCTCTTGCCCTATTTTAGTTACCAATTATCAGGAGAACACTGCTGCTCCCCTATGAGCCCGACTGTTGACGGTGGCTGTGTGTACAAAGCAAGAATTTCTGTGACTGCAGGAAAGCATGAAAATTAGATGGAGAAAACTGCCCAGTATTTCTGAGAAAACGTATAAAAGAGGCCTAGAAGTTCTGAACATACACACTGTGTGGAAGTTCGCACAATTTGAGCCACAGGTTACCTATTAACTAGAACTTTGGATACGTTACTTCCTCTCTTTGAAGTTACTTCAATTTTGTTATCCATAAAATGAAGGAGGGGCATTATACTGAGTTTAAGATAACATCCATCTCTAACGTATTTTATGCACATTCTCCTCTTTTAAAAAAAGAAGCCAGTTTCCTCTCCTTAGCAATAACATTTTCCTAAGGGGCAAAAAGGATATATGTAAGGCAAAGGTTATTTTCACTCAAAGAAATACAATCAAGATCCACGCATCAGCGTGACTGACTCAAGGGCGTAAGACCTTAAGTTTCCTAGCTCAGTTACGTTAGGCGTGTTGTTTCTCACCACGACTTTGGTGGCCTGGGCTGGCTTCCACTGCACGAGTGTGACTCCCCCGCACAGCATAAACACTGAAATCCACTGCAGCTTGCTGAGCGTCCGGTTCAACATTAAGACAGTGCACAGAGCAGTGCAAGGGATCTTCAGCTGGTACGTCACCTGAGAACAACACATGAGCTAATCAGCTCCGCTAATGTCGGACTCCGAGACCAAAATATCTGGTGTCGTTAACAGAACCGAGAAGAATATCTGACAGTGACAGAAAGGGTTAATAAAAATGCTGTCCGCATAAAAACATGCCTTTAAAGCCTCTGCGCCTCTGACCACCACCCACCTGGTACACCGCCGCATCCAGGTTGCTAAGAGCGAGGAAAGCCATGTTGTTCTGGACGGCGTACACCAGGGAAGGCACACTCAGCTTCATCAGCTCCTTGGGGCTCCCCAGGACATTCTCTCTTAAAGACGCCCTGAGTCTACCCAGATTACCAGTTTCCCTTTGAAAACAAAACGGGGAAAGGAGAGGGGTGAGGAAGAAAATGAAGGTCATCCTATTAGATACCATCGCAGGTAGGGTAGCTACAATGTGTTAAGTTCACTGATAGAATTTAACAAACTTGTTTATTTTTAGAATTTTTGACTAATTTTCGGTTTATTAAAAGAAATATACCAACAATATGTGAAAAACAATTACAGTTTCTATTTGGGAAAATATGGCACTTGGTTTACCATCATCCACCTCTGGTCAAAGCTCCAGGGGCTTCTGAGTATATGAAGTTATGAGATAACAGGAAACCAGAATTGCTGATATTACCCATAAAAAATTAATCCCTGCCGCTTTCTGCCATTACATCAAGTTTACCCTGATTATTTTTTAGATTAATCAGACTGCATATCCATTTAAAACAATTTTTAATTACAATAGATTTAAATTGCAAACAAAAGAAAAAAGCTTTAGTACTTAAAGAAGTTACTTGAGATTAATTTATAAATTTTGATCTGCATCACTCAATGAGATAGGAAAAGGAACTGAGTGATGTAGGTCAATATTATTTGTAAACTAATTCAGTGTTTGTGCAATACGGTGGACAATAAATCTTTAGATAAGCATATTCTCATAAAACTCAAGTATGTATCTATATAACTTGGCAGGAAATCTGAATAATTAATACCAGTAAAGGTAAACTGTATCTACAATGTACATAAAGTTCACTACTGCATATTGATTAATGCATGCTCTTAAGTATTCTTATTTTTATGCAGGAGGAACTATTAATAGCTAATCTGACTCATACTTTCCCCTGCTATAAATCAGCTCACTTATTCCCTGAAAATACATATCAAAGAACACTTTTATAAGCATCAACACCAAAAAATGCTACATCAAAAGGCTCCTAACTACAGCTCAAAACATCCTTAAAGAGGACCATAATGCTGCATTGAGAAGACTAATCTATGTCAACTCACAATGAGCCTTCAAATTTTCTGTTAACATATTAGAATCAACAGTCACTAACTGGGTATTTTCATACTAAATAGGGCAAAAATGATTACCCAGGTTCTGAGGGGGAAGCAAAAAGTCCATAATGTTGAACTGACTACCCATGCCTTTTCACCATAGAACACTCCAGCAGCCAAGGAAACACTTAAGACAGGAAAGTCGGCCTGGACCACAGAGACACAAGGTGTCCTTAGTTAAAGGCTGTCTGCTGCCAAATTCAATACACCCCACACCACAATGGGAAATCCATATGCTGAAGAGTAACATACACCCCACACCACAATGGGAAATCCATATGCTGAAAACGACACACACACACAGCGAGAGGGAGATGACAAAAGCCATCCAGAAGAGGAGAGAATTCGAGAAAGATGACTGTGCTGGGAAAAATCTACATAGGAGAGATTTCCAGACACCTGAAGTTTGGCCCTTTAAACCTTTAACACTTTTTTTTTTTAAACACAAATCTATAATGTTCTATATAATTCTCCACATCTTAAAAGAGTATAAAGAAAAATTTCTCAAATTTTCCCTCAGTTATAAAACTGAAAATAAAAAACGATTAAAAAGAATCACAGAGGTCCAACTCAAAGAACCATTGTAACAGGTGATATATTAGAAAACATAATTGAACATTCTGTCATAATTCTAAGAAGCACCTTATGATGGAAGAAGCATAAATCTTACAGAACACTGCTTTCACTAAGCCATTACTTTATGTCCTTCCGAAATACTTTTCTACTGATGTATCTTCAGAGTGGTTCCCGAGGGAACTCCTGAGAGGCACCAGTTTGTACCCATCTTTTATGTTCTACTTCCTTTCATGTCTGTTTATCTCCCACATAGGGTTCCGCAAGCTCTAGTTTAATGGCTATTTATCCCTCCTCTGATCCCCAGCTATGGGCAATGCCAGCCCACGTCCACTCCAAGAGATACTCTAATCCCTCCATAGTATCAAGTGAACTCCTGGCTACCCAGAGCTCGGCGCTGGCCTGCTCATCACCGACTCTCCCGCTCTGCGTGAATACGGGCTGCGCGCGGATCTGGCTGCGTCTCCTACTGACACCACGCCTGCAGCGGGAGTCAGGGCTGCCGGGCACCTCTTCTCCATGTCTTCTTACCACTCTACACTCTTCAGCTTTCCCATCACAAGAAGGGCCTGCGAGACATCACCGGTCAGTCTGAATGCTCCACTCCTTCAACGTGGCAAACCAGCAGAGTGTGATGTACTGTGTCCAGATTAACCTTCAGGTCTGTGGCTCCTGATTAGGTCCTTTTTATTGGATCTTTTTCCTTGGATGCTTAGGAATTACTACTTCTTCATTGCCAAGAAGGCTTCAGTATCTTTTTCTGGTTTCTTCTCTAATGAAGATATTAGAGAAGCCAAGGTCTACCAGAATGCTATCAGAGGAAAGCTCAAGCTTCACCACAGGATTATATCAACATCATGTAATTATAACAAGACATTTGGAAATAAGTTACAAAAAAATAGCAGCGATTGCTAGAAGAACTTGCAAAAGAAAACAAAAGCTCAAGAATAATTAATGACATTGTATAGTAAAATAAAGGTCCGTATAGTCAAAGCTGCGATTTTCCAGTAGTCACGTACAAATTTGAGAGTTGGACCACAAAGAAGGCTGAGCGCTAAAGGACTGATGCTTTCAAACTGTGCTGCTGCAGAAGACCCTTAAGAGTCCCCTGGACTGCAGGGAGATCAAACCAGTCCATCCTAAAGGAAATCAGCCCTGAACATGCGTTGGAAGGACTGATGCTGAAGCTCCAATACCTTGGCCACTTGATGCAAAGAGCTGACTCACTGAAAAAGACCCTGATGCCAGGTAAGACAGAAAGCAAAACGAGAAGAGGGTGGCAGAGGATGAGATAGTTAGAGAGCATCACTGACTCAACGGACATGAGTCTGAGCGAACGCCCAGAGACAGTGAAGGACAGGAAAGCCTGGCGTGCTGCATCCCATGGGGTCGTGAAGAGTTAGACACCGCTTAGCAACTCAACAACAACAGTAGAATAAAGGGAAATAGGAGGTAGAGCAAAGGATATACGGGACTCCTAACACACAAAGTTTCAAAGAGGTAGATCATCTCAGTGTGAGATTAAATCTTGCTTAACTTTAACGTATTAAGAAAACAGCTCCAAAACTTACGGTTTTACTCATGAAAGTTAAAATATATATACACCAATGTATCTCCCAGAAAACACTAGTAATCATCTATCCTTTTGTTTTACTGTTAAGTAGACAAAGATAAATGATCAATTTTAAATATACTACAGCCTTGAATATACTAGTGAAAGGAACACATAAAAACCAAAGGCTGTTTTTTCTTCCATTTTTCCTGATATTTTCTTGGAAATCAAATCCCATGCACTTTAATGAGTACATTTTGTTAAAAACAAATTTATTGAATTTAATTATATAAATGACATTGTGAGATAAGAAAAAGCATGTCTAAAATCAAAAAGCATATTTAAAAAAAATATAGCCTGTCCCATTAAATTTACTGTTTGATTTTTATCACTGGAAAAGAATCTATGTTCAACCTCTTGTTACCTGAAGAAATGCTGAAGCTCCGTGTTGACTGTAGACAGATTCTGCTGCCGCCTACCCCCCTAAATTTCCTACCAACCGGCTGAAACCAGTTCTTTCTGATCTATGTTTGGTCAAAAGTAGGTCTCATTCTTCCAGCTCCTGATCTGACGAAAACTACTAGGAGACCTAAAACCCTTGGCTCGGTCACCAAGGTCACCAAGGCACTGCGCAAAATGGAATGATAATGCAGCACAAGTTACTCATGAGCTGAAGAAACTTCAGTTTGCTTACAGATTTCTCATCTGCAAAGTTCATCTTCAGTCACTGTTCTAGGTGATACCGTGAAACAGTAAACTAATTTTCTCCAGTCTTATAGGGATAAGTAGTTCAAAGATTTAAGATGCAATTATTGCTAGACACGCCCAAAGTAATATGCATGTTTACACACCCTTCCAGGTTTCTTTAGTGCTTACAGGCTGCGGTGGACAGCAAATAACAAGAAGCTGACTTTGTGCTAAGACGACATGACAGTGTCTGCACCTCCTTTTTCGTATCACAAATGACAGGTGTAAATCAAAAGTGTTAATTTTAATAGCTATGACAGTTTAGTAAAGCTAACTAGCAATTTTCCTGTGAATTGTTGTAGTAATTATTTTATGAACCTAAAACATTTTTACATGTATTTGTTTTATGTTTCAACTGGATTATAACTTAGAAATCAGTAACTTCACATTCAAATACTTGCTTTTGCATCAGACTGCTAAGCTACTCCCCTCTCCACAAAATAGGATGTCTGTTTCCTTTACCACATGAGAGTGGTCTGACATAACTCATACATATGCACAACAGTGTACATTAAAAGATAATTATTACATCTTTGTTTTACAGTTGCAGAAGGCTACATACAATCTAAACATCCATCAATAGAAACTGGTCTATATAATACATCTGTATAATAGAAAACCACACAGCTCTTAAAAATAATAAGAGTTCTATGTATGGACATGGAACCATCTCTAAGATAAAACATTTAAACGGAAAAAAGTTAAAAAGCAAAGCACAGTGTGAACTTTGTATGCACACAAAATTACAAGCATTGTACATACATACATGTACATGCATTCTAGTTACATGCTCTAAAATTCCCCAATCAGACCATGTAAACCTTAAACCTTACTTATCAAAGGTACCACCCATCAAATATTCCCCCCAGTCCCCATTTTTTTTGCACTTCTAATTTATGATAAAAACAAGTATAATTTCATATTCCAAAAACTACTGAAACTTAAAAGTAAAATCAAACAAAGATGGTGGAAAACTCCAAATTAATTACAAACAAACAAACAAAAAACAAACCTGTCAGTTTTTTTCATGAATACCAAAATAACACTGATGGAGAAAAACAGAACTAACCCAAGTATTCTAAAACGCAGTCTTTTTACTGTATGCTC